TCGACCGCTGGGCGCTGGCTGTGGCTGACGTCGACGCTCCCCACCCCTTACCTCCCCCCCTTTGGTCTTCGATGCTAACGCCTTCGCCCCCACAGTCGGCATGATCCAAGCCATCACGAATCAACAAGTCGGGCTGAACGTCATCACCGAGCTCATCATCGGGTACGCGCTCCCCGGGCGCCCCGTCGCGATGATGATGTTCAAGACATGGGGCTACATCACCATGGCGCAGGCGCTCACGTTCACGAGCGACTTCAAGCTCGGGCACTACATGAAGATCCCGCCGCGGCACATGTTCACGAGCCAGGTCGTCGCGACCGTCGTCGCGGGCACCGTGCAGCTCGGCGTGCAGGCGTGGATGTTCACGAACATCGAGGGCATGTGCGACCGCGACCAGAAGGACGGGTTCTGGTGCCCGTCGACGGGTGTGTTCGGACGGCGAGCATTATCTGGGGTGTTATTGGGCCGGCGCGGCAGTGTGCGTATCGTTCTCTACTCTCTCATCCTCCACGTCCCATTTCCCTTCCGCTGGTCGACATCCCCCTCCGCATCCTGCCCTCCCTCCTCTGCCCTCGCTCTTTCCCCGCTCCTCCCTCACCGTCGAGACGATATACTGACCCGCCTTTTCGCCCCACAGTCTCCCACGGACAGATCTACTACGCCCTCACGTTCTTCTTCCTCATCGGCTTCCTTTGCCCGCTCATCGCATGGCTGTGCACCCTCAAGTGGCCCAACAGCTGGCTGCGATACCTCAAGTGCGTAGTGTTCCTCTCGCTCCCTTGCCTCCCCTCGCCTTCGTACTGCATGTTATCCGCTCGTCGTCGTCGTCCCGCCACGTGGCGAGCCTACACTTCGTTGCTCTGCTCCTCATCCCTTGCCTCCCTCTCCCTCCGTGGAAACACATGCTGACGCTACTCTCCAGCTTCCCCGTCATCTTCTCCGGCACCGGTCTCATCCCCCCGGCCAACTCCAACAACTACGTCCCCTGGGCCATCGTCGGCTTCATCTTCCAGTATGTCATCCGGCGGCGTCATTTCGCGTGGTGGACGAAGTACAACTGTACGTGCTCCCTTCCTTCCTCCTCCACACATGCTGATCACCGCCTCCCTCTTCACAGACGTCCTCTCCGCCGCGCTGGACTCGGGCGTCGCCGTCTCGGCCGTCCTCATCTTCTTCATCCTGCAGTACCCGCAGAACGGCAACATCGGGCTCCACACCATCCAGTCGTGGTGGGGCAACACCGTATGGCTCAACACCGCCGACGGGAACAAGACGCCGCTCATCTCGCTCGCGGAGGGCGAGACGTTCGGGCCGCCGATGGGGTCGTGGTAGATGTTCTGCTGTTCTGCTGTCGTGTCGGACGGCAGCAGGGGTTCGTGCGTCGTCGTTGTGTCGTCGCATTGTGGGGTTTTATCGTGGGCAAGGGGGACTGTGTATGATTTACGCAAGGCGACGACGTTGCACGAGTGCGAAACGAGATTTATAGGGTAAACTAAGAAAACTAACATACATAGTGACGAGAGTAGTGTAGGATTTGCTAAATATTATGTTTTTCTTGATGTCTGTGCGAGTCTCTCGAGCTCTTTCTTTGGTCTTCGTGAGCTGGTGCCAGTGGGTGAGAAACTTCCTTGGTGAGAAAGTCTTCCGCCGCTTGTACGTTGTCCAAGCTGCCTCCGCGGCGTAGAGGTTGTTAATAACTTACTGCACTGCCGTCTCTTCCTCGCGCCGCGCGTTTTACGAGGCCGAGAGGAAATGAATAATTTCCTTGGTCGCCGTTCACGCATCTTACCTCCAACGTCGCAACCGTCGCAACCCCAATAAAATTCCTAGACCGTCGGCGCACAGGAATTAAATTAAAATGAATGCTCCCCGAAATAGGAGCTCGAACTACTCACTGACAACGAGCTCCAAGAGATTCTTGGAAGTCATGGTCCGCAGCAGTCTTATCTCTGCATCCAAACAGAGGTATTTGCTCCACGCATCCACAGACGGCGCCCGCGCCAGCTGACCTTTGACTTCGAGGGCACTGCTCACACGAATCGCATTCCGGCTGCATTGTGCACCGCGAAGAGAAGGTGATGATCAGATGATAAGACCTCGCTGGGCATTCGTTGAGGCTAGCCCACACCTCTCCGGTCCACTTCCCCAGTCCCGTAGTCCAACGGTACGACGCCGGCAATCCACGTTTTGAGATTCGCTGGAGATTGCGGGTTCAATTCCCGCCGGGGCGATCTTGGATACAATTTTCTAGAATCTGTCGGCGCGCTTTTACTTCCTCGCGACACGTCGAATGCGGGGTTGAAAAGTTCGATTTTAGCTTCTCGAGTCTGAATGCGAGGCACAGCTGGTATCCACGAAGATGTACTCAACTGGGACGGCTGTGTCTTTTTGTCCGTGGCATATGCGGTGTTCAACGAAAACAGATATCGCACCGTGGTCTAAAGGGCTACGACACCAGTATTCTCTGAACTAAAAGGGCTGGCTGGAGGCTGCGAGTTCGAATCTTGCCGGTGTGATATCCTCTCTTTTTGCCTGACTTCTGCATCATTCGAGCAGCAGAAATGACTTGATAGACGTGGAGAACATGATCAACTTGACTCATGGCAGCTGTTTGTATGTATGTGCCTGATGGAGACGCGTCAATAAATCACGTGCTGCACGCTTTTGGTTCAATTTCGACTTTGGGCGGATTTGAATGAACTATCCTATCCCACTTCCAGCCCACGAGACAGAGCAATCGCCCAAACAGTTGCTTCTGTTCAACCCTGACTCGGTGCTTATTTCGGGGAAAGCTCGAAATTCCGTCATCCTGCCGCATATCAAGGACCAGGACCTTCAAGGTATCCATTGATTTTCCGTCAGCATCTAGGTTGTGCCGGGAAGCTCTCAGATAAACCTGAATGTATCATTCATCTCGATTTGTGGAGTAACAGTGTTCAGTTGCACCACCATAAATTCCGACCACAAGCGGTTGATGGCACTCTAGCCAATTTACCGCAAGTCATCCACTAGAAGACGAAGGAAGTTGAAATCTGGGAAGCATTTGGTTCTAGCGCACGATCAGAGCCTGCCATTCTATTAAGTAGAGTTGCGGTGGTGAATGGCCTGGACTGCAGTTTTATAGAGCAACACTTGTGCCTCAGTTGTTGCCGTTCATGTGTGAATATTTCGTGTTCGCCTGCGCTGAGAATGCGATGGTAAGTGAAAGCCAGCACACCCTACATGCATCGATCCAGTGGATTTTGACTCTTTCAATTGCACCTCTAGTCAATTCCTAGTCATTTCGTCCTGCAATAGGCATTAAAGACAGAGCCCCACCTGAAGAACACACTATACATACTGCACTTCTCAGTAGGAGATGCAACTTCTTTACCTTCTAGCCGCATTTAACGTTACAAGATGGTCTTCCTGGGGTGCTGAAGGCACTCACTGTGGTCGCCAAAGGCCCTGGCTTTCAGGTCCCTACTTCACGGTGTTTCATAGGAATTTCAATGGCAATTTTGGTTGATATCCAGGTAAAGACCCTGGATTTCACGTGGCTGGAACTACCTGGAATCCCACACTGAAATTTACCTTTTCACGATGGTTGTTCACTATGTTTCTACATGACTGGCAGTGAAAACCAGGTTGCCTGTGATTCACAGATCCCTGGGTCATTGAGCATTCCAGCTTATTTCAGGCTCTTTCCACATGAAATTCATCCAATTGACCCGTGAAATATAGATGGGGGAGTAGCTAAAAAAGCAGATACAATTTATCACTGATGTATTAATTATTTTATATTTTATATTATTATTATGACTTAAGTACTTATTACATTATTTTATTAAGTATGGTAATCAGGATCAGGATAATTTATATTTTTATATTTCCAATAGAGACCTGGTTTGTTAACTACAATGTACGACTTTTACTCATATATGCACACACACAGGAAAATTTTTGGAGGTCATGACCTGAGTTTTGTACCTTGCCTGAGCCACCGGCCAAAGACCCTTCACACCCGGATCATGAAATTCATGCAAATCACCATAGAATTCAGCATGTTCTTGCTATGGCCTGAAAAAATACATGAAAGATAGAGTACCTGGAATATGTTTTCATACAGTGTATATATATAGATACATTGGAACTTGAGCCCAAGTAGCATGCCACTTTTAGGTTGTGCAAAAAGCAGCATGCCGCTTTTTTCTTTTTTCCTATGCGAGCGCCAGGATAATTATTTATTGTGTGTTATTTCCATGTACTTTGTGTTGAAAACTCATCATCCTAAATGATCATGAAAGTTATGTGCTTTGGAACACCCATTCGGAGGGTACCTGAAAATGTAACTGCCTGAAAAAAAAAATCACTATGAAGAGCCGTGAAACGTGAAATCCAGGCCCCTGTACCCTGAAAGTCAGGGGGGTCTGCAACCACAGTGACTCGTAAGACGAGAAGACGAGAAGAAAAGTATTGCGGGGACCGATGTACGTCTGTAAGTTACACTTTGAGCCTACAGCCAGGGCAAAAGTCCTCAGGAATGATCACCAGAATCCAATTAATTCCAAGATTTCCGTGATTGGAATTGGAACCGTGCCACAAGAAATACAAAGACAGTTGTAGGAGGGAAGGACTGCCCGGATGTTGCCTCCCTCGAAGTTTATAGAGGGTGTGGAGTTTGAACAAGAATTCCCTCGCCCTTCCTCAGGTCCGTAGTCCAATGGTACGAACCATGCCAGCCTGAGCAGACCTGATCTTGGATCACTCTACTGGGTGTGGGTTCAATTCCCGCCAGGGCAGTCTCGAATGCACCATTGGATGCAAGTTGCACGGTAGGAACAGCTGTAGAGCGCCGCTGATGGCGACGATTGGAGAGGTTGGTGGGAAATTGAAAGCCTCTGGCAGACAGAGCTTCAGGACATACCTACCACGGCGTATTTGGTTGTGCGGATGGTACTGTTATATTTTTCGAAGTTGACCGTGGCATACTTAATGTGATGTTTCGACAGAACTGATATTGCCCCGTGGTCTAATGGTACGATGTCAGCAGTTCACGGCTGGAGATCGCGAGTTCGAATCCCGCCGGGGTGATACCCACTTTTTTCTCTGGCTCCTGCATCATGCGACCCCAGAAACGGAAAAAATCACTCAATCTGAATTGATATAACCGTTGCTTGTGCGTGTGTACGTGATCGGACGCGATAATGACTCACGTGACGAGTTGGACAGCGGTGCGGGATGCCGGCATTACACAGCCAAGACACGGCCATTTTCTGCCTCCTCCCTCGATGCGCAGCTCCTATGGGGCTCATGCCCTCACGATGGCACATACTTTGCAGGCGATGGCCTATCGTGCGGGGGAGCTCATTCAATACGCGCGGTATACCATGTCCCGGCGGCCCATACCCCGGCCCTTGGTCTTAATTTTCCAGCTCGCCGCCTGGATCTTTCTCTTTTGCGCCCGGATTATTCTCCGCTTCATCCATCCGGTAGTCTCCCTTACTGTCTTCTACACCGTCTGGCAGAAATGTCATCAATTCTGGCTCTCCAAGCTCGGTGGCGCATGGGCACCGGCCTTTCCCGTCTCGCGCACTGTCTTCGTCATCACTTTGGCAGCAGTTCCTATCTGGGGCGCTTGCATGGCGGTTCTGATGCTGCTCTGGCCTATCCTGCTCCGACTGTGGACCCTGGTGCGGAACCGGGTGCCCCGGCTGGCGCGCCAGCAGCGGTATGAGGCGCTTGCTGTGGATCTGGATGATCTGGAGTCTCCAGAGGCCCCTAGAAAAGGACCTCATCGGAAGGGACGAGATTCTGCTCAATCTATTGGGACCAAGCTCGCACAAAGAGCTGGCTACTTTATTATTTGGGGCACGTATCTATCCGCTGCGCTATTTGGCGTGTACATGCTCCGCACATACGAACTTCCTATCGACCATCGTTTCAAGAAAACTGTCGAGCTTGCTAATCGCGTGCCCAAACCTGAGGGGTATGGAACTGGAGGTACGTTCTTCGATGATCTCGGTCAAATAGCATCTGACATGGGGTTTAGAAAAAGTATTCATCGCCGCCATGTTTTATAACAACGGCGGTGTTCTTCCTTACTGGATCAAAGAGGTCACAAAACTAATTTACTACCTTGGTCCCGTTCGTTCATCCTCTCTGCTGTGTGGACGTGCGCTGATTTCCGTTGACAGGAAAATGTCTTCGTCTCCATCGTCGAGTCGAACAGCTGGGACAACACAGCTGACCTGCTTGAAGAGTTCAACAAAACGCTCGAGACAATGGAGGTGAAGCGCCGGATTCTAACTCACGATACGTCGATCGAACGCCCACCGTCGATGGACACGGCTCCGCCGCGCATCATTTTCCTTGCCGCTGTGCGGAATCTCGTGATGGAACCCCTTGTGCAGCACGGCGGGTACACCCGCGTGTTGTTTAGCAACGACGTCTTCATTGAAGCTGAGTCGATTGTCGAGTTGCTGGACACCAAGGGCGGCGACTACGATATGGCGTGTGGGCTGGACCTCGATTCTTGGGGGTATGTAGATCTCGCTTTACCAACAAACCGAACTTGACTATTTGTCTGCCTCTTGTGCTTAGATTATACGACCAGTAAGGGCTCTTTTTTCTTCGCGTTGATTCCTCTCGAATTCATTCCTGCAATAGGTGGGTAGTGCGCGATCGCCTCGGCCGCATCGCATCCACACTCTGGCCGTATTTCCTCGAAGACACCGGTTTCCGCGCCGTCATGGCCGACGAGCCCGCCCCCGTCTTCACCTGCTGGAACGGCATCATCGCCGTACGCGCCGACCCCTTCCTCCCCCCCGCCCTGCGCACCGGGCAGCTCTCCACCTCGCCCCTGGCGCGCCCTCTTGCCTCCACCCACCCCGCCTACCCCCAACCCGCCAACCTCACCCCCGCGCTCACCCCGCCCGTGCGCTTCCGCGCCTCCGCCCCCGACGAGTGCTTCTCGTCCGAGTCCTTCCTCCTCCCGTACGACCTCCGGCGCCAGTTCGCGCTGGACAAAATCTACGCGAACCCACGGGTGATCAACAGCTATTCGTGGGACTGGTACGTGTACTGGAAATACGTGACAAGGCACTGGGCGGTGAAGTGGTGGATTGAGAGGGTGGAGAATGGGAATGGGGTGCATTTGGCGAAGATGATATTGTGGGACCCGGCGAGGGTGTGGCAGTGGGATGGGGGGGAGTGTCATCCGGTGCGTGTATTTCGTTTTTGTGGTTTTGAGACGGTTTGCTGAGGCGTGACCCGACACAGTGGTGATGTTAGGACGGTTGGATAATTATTAGATCTGTGCAAAGTAGGGGTGGTATATATAATGTTAGATACAGGGATTTATAGGAGCAACAAGATGAGATCATTTCAATTGCGGTCGGTACGTTTGGAGGGGTTCGGTTCTCAATTCAAGCTGAGACTCAGAGCCGACCTTCGAGGTTCAAGCTTCGCGCACATTCTCAATTTGCTTACAGTTTGCTGACCAGTTGGTATTACGGTTTACCGCCGCAATTCATGGCAATTTTACCGCAACTCAGTGACCTCAGAACACAGGGAGTCCGCGGCTAGCGAGCAGGAGATGTGTCTTCTTCAACTTCTAGCCTCAGTTACAGTTGCGATTCGGCGCTCTTCCTGAGGCGCTGGAGTTCCTGAAGGCACTCGCAAGAAGGAGTAGGGAGCACTCGCAAGAAGGGGAAGGGAGTAAACTTCTCTTTGAGCTGCGTCCCTTGGAACGCCGCACAAATGAAGGACTTCCTGATTCTAGCTTCAGGCGGGCCAAGATGCGGTGCGTGCCTGCGCCACTTGCGGGCGCACCGTCTTTCTTCGCCGCGGGGATGCACGGCTCTGAGAATTTTCGTTGGGTGAGTGAGAAGAACGAGAACGATACAGTGATGTTCGCTGATTTTTCACAGCGGAAACAAAGAGCTGTCAAAGCCATTCCGGAATCGCCGAGATGCCCCACAACTTCAGTTCAACTTGCCGTCCATTTACACACAACAAATGAATGCTTCGCAAGCAAGGGTATTATCATTAAGTTTTCGTAGACCAAGTTGAAATGAAGAGTGGACCACGAATACTACGCCGAATAATGGGGGACCCTCCTTTTTTTATGTTGCGCTCTCCGCTGCGACGACGGGGGTGCAGTCATTAAACTCTCCCAGCGCGTGGCCGTCGGGCGTCGAGAACTTCACGCCATTCACTTCCGTGCCGATGGTGTAGGGCTTGAATTCGAAGTTCGGGTCGCTCAAGTTGATGCTCCACAGCGAGTACGCGCTCCCCGCGGGCACCGGTTGCGCGGGGGGCGTGAGGTCTGTCTCCTTGACGGAGATGCGGCCCACGTTGTCCTTCACATCTTGTTCGAGGAAAACACGCGTCGGGTTGAGCCCGTTGCGAACCTGTGTTGCTTCGTTGTCAGTGGATAGGCCCAACTGTGGCACACGGCGTACTCACAGCAACATCGAACCGCCCTTTGATCGGGTTGAACGAGGTCAGGCAAGAGGTGGAAGAGAGCAGCGCGCCGTCCTGGATCGTGAACCCGACGCCGCCCTGATCCTCGAGCTTGCCGTTAACCGTGAAGCTCAGTTTGGTAAGACCAGCTGCCGGGTCGATCGAGAGGGTCCCAGTCGACGTTTCGTTAAAGGCGTACCATGCGGACTGGACGCGCCCCTCCCATGGTGTTGGAGATGTGGTCGGGCTGGAGCGTGATGCCGCTGGTTTTATTTCCGGCGCGGTTTTCCAGCTGCAGGACCACAGACCGGCTCGGATCATCGGATTGGTTGAATAACTGGAGGGGCCGTCAATTGGAGTGCAGCGATTAGGACAAAAACGCTATATTCACCCGAACGAGGCCAGATAGCTTCAGGGAGTCTCCGTCGTGGATGAGTTGGAGTTGAGTGGGCTTGACAGACAACGGTTCAATGACGTCGGTCAGCTTCACATCGCGAGGCACGGTATCCAACATGCGGGCGAGCAGTGCCGCACACGTCGAAGCGAACAGATCTGGAGAGTCGGCAAATCTTTGGGACAGTTAGCGAAGCGCCGAGGTAAAAACGAGCGATCGCGCACGATTTCATTGTAACGTTTCCGTCGCTAGCAAAAATGCGTTTATCCGAGTTTGTGGTATCATTGGCACCGACAACGAGGGGGGTTAGTAGTTGTTCCAGCGATGTACTCGGTTGCTCTGGAGAAAATTAATTAGCGCATGTGCAAAACATACAGTATTTGTGTACACGTTATTGTCGAAGGCCCCGAATGTTGAATCAAAGTGCGCGACGGACAGCGTGTTGTTGGAGTCATTTAATTCGGGTACGGTGTCCGGGAACGACCCGTGCTCCACGCCACCAAAAGTGTGTCTGGAACGGTAAGACGCGTCGGACGTCTGGCTGAGACGGTACGCACCCGCATGCAATGAGACCAATCATCTCACTCTGTGGTGAACCCTTGGCGAGCGAAGGAGTCGATGTGTGCTTGCAGGTCTTGTTGTGGCTCGGGTACACCTGGCGTATTCGGTTTCTGCGGCGTCGATGCGCCCGCCGCGGAATGCAATCTGTGGTCCACCGCTTCAAACTGGTTGAATTGACGGTATAAATGAGGATGAAGAAAACTGACCAATTCTCAACAGCGGTAATGAGGCCAATTGCGATAAGGTCGGCGACTACGCGCAACGGTCAGAGGGAAAAGTCGATGGGCGAGTGGAACGCACGAGAGATGTGTCGGGACATAAAGCCAACAAAAGGATCCAACGTGTTTTCAAACCCAGTGCCCACATTCTTAAGGGCGATTGCTAATTAGCGCAGGAAACTGCAGTAGCGGGTCGCGCACCTCGCCGCGCGACTGCTCTTCCGGGAAACGAATTGATGCATCCAAGCCGCCCGTGCCATCCGCAATATTGTGAGTCGCCATATCGTGGTACGCCTGCCGCATGTCAGCGCTGTTCGCAAGAGCGTGTTTCTTCCAGCTCACCGTACGTATCCAGTCGGCGGTATTGGCCCTCCCAGTCCCGTCTCCAAAGGTGAAGAAATCGCAAGGTTCGATGAACCCCGCTAATCCGCTGAACTTGTCGTCCTGATCCCAGC